AACTTTTGACTCTCAATCACAACGCATAAGTGTGTTAGACGATCCTACGGCGAAAGCGCTCTAGGAAGTATAGCAATCGTTGTTCCATGCAATCCAACCGCTTCGTCGCCGCCACCATGGCAAATCGTGTCGGGTCACTACATGCCGAAGGGCAGGCACGGGTCCACGTGGGCAATAATTACTACGGTTCGAGCGACATCCTGCCGGCTGTATATGAGGCAGCTTTCGACTCTTTTGCCGAGCAGAGCAACGCACAATGCCATCCTGACACCCGAATCGAGCTCCTCCGTCAGATCAGAGACTGGGCAGAAGATCCTCACGGTGAGAGCATCTTCTGGCTGAACGGCATGGCAGGGACCGGAAAATCCACCATCTCCCGCACCGTAGCGAAGGCATTCGCAGACAACGGCCTCCTCGGCGCAAGCTTCTTCTTCAAAAGAGGTGAAGGAGACCGTGGCAAAGCCACCTTGTTTTTCCCCACCATTGTCAGTCAGCTTATGCACAAAATCCCTACTCTAGCGCCTTTTGTCAGAGACGCTATCAATGGCGACCCCGGCGTTGCCAGGAAGGCGCTGCCAGACCAGTTCAAGAAGCTCATCCTGCAACCTCTTGGCCGCATTCACCAAGCTATGTCAAGTCTGATTGTTGTTGATGCTCTTGACGAGTGTGACGGAGACAATGACGTAAAGACCATCATCTCCCTGCTAGTACAAGCAAAGACACTGAGCTCCGTGCGACTGAGGATTTTCATCACCAGCCGGCCTGAGCTGCCCATTCGCCTTGGATTCATGAACGTTCAGGGAAAGTATCAGGACCTGGCTCTACACCAAATACCGGAGCCAATTGTGGAACGCGATATATCTACATTCTTAGGACACACACTCGCGAGAATTAGGAACGATTACAACAGCCAAGCTCCCGGAGACCTAATTCTGCCGCCCGACTGGCCTGGCGAACACGTCATTCGGACTCTCGCTCAGATGGCCGTTCCATTGTTCATTTTTGCCGCAACCGTCTGCCGCTTTGTCGAAGATCCGGTGTGGTCTGACCCCGCCGGTCAGCTCGAGAAAGTCTTACAGTATCAGCGGAAGACCCATGATTCCGAGCTTGACAAACTCGACGCGACATATCTCCCAATTCTCAACCAGCTCACTGCCGGGCGTGCTGAGCCACAGAGGGGCCGCTTATTAGCCGAGTTCCGGGATGTTGTTGGCCCTATTGTTCTCCTCGCCCAACCGCTCTCAGTGTCGTCGCTCGCACGACTTCTCATCATCACTCCTAAAGCTATATATGGCAGGCTCAACTCTCTCCACTCGGTCCTGAGAATTCCCCCGGAAATAGATGCTCCTGTCAGACTCTTTCACCTGTCTTTCCGCGACTTCCTTGTCGATCCAACCAAACGTGCTGAGGAGTTTTGGATCGACGAGATACAACATCACCGAACGCTTGTGGATAGATGTATTCAACTTATGCGCCAACACCTCAAGAGAGATATCTGCGATCTGCAAGTGCCGGGGAAACCGCGCTCAGAAATCGACCAACGAACCGTCGACGCCGCTTTGCCACCCGAAGTCCAGTACGCATGTCAGTACTGGGTCCACCACTGGAAGGAGAGCAAAGGCATTGTACGGGATGACGGCCCGGTCCACAGTTTATTGAAGAGCCATCTCCTTTACTGGCTTGAAGCGCTCGCGCTTGTAGGCCGTATCTCGGAGAGTATCGGCATGGTAGACGACTTGTTAGCCCTACTCGATGTATATTGCACCCTTAGTCCCCATCTCCGATATATACTAATATCGCCTTTCAGCCTGGAGATGCTACCGAAGTATCTGTATTTCTCCGCGATATAAGACGATTCGTTCTAAGCAGTCTATCGATTATTGATACTGTACCTCTTCAGGTATACGCTTCAGCACTTGTGTTCAGCCCTGTCCGCAGCATAACCAGAGAGTTGTTTAAACATGAGGAACTGGAATGGATTACCACCGCACCGGCTGTAGAAGATGAGTGGGGTCCATGCGCGCAGACGCTCGAGGGGCATAGCGGCTGGGTCAGCTCAGTCTCGTTCTCGCCCGATTCAAGGCTCGTCGCCTCAGGATCAGACGACAAGACT